AACAAGAAACACAGCTGTTAATTAACAGAGCTGCTTCTCAGCACTGTCATTACTGGGACAAGGTGTTGGGAGGAGGAGTATCTAGGGAGACAGCCAGGGGTCCCGGTGTGCTGGTCCTGGTGTAGGAGCCACGTGGGATTGATGGAATCCATGGAACACCTGGAAACTGCTTCCTCCAGGGTGTTATAAAGATCTGTATGGTATTGAAGTCTGGAATTTGAATCCAGAATTTGAGCCTTTACTGTCTAATGTTTGTATTCCTGAAGGACAGTGAAAGGCTCAAGAAAGCTCCAGCTTCCAGCCTCACCTCCTCCTGCTGGCATCTCACGGGTCAAACGAGCTCAAACCAATTAACACAATGCAGTGATATCTCAAGATTCGTAGGTGAGCTTGAACGAGGCTGTTAGACAACGAGAAGTTACTCCCTATGGCTGTCACCTGTGTCATTGACGCACGCTGATTTGCCCCTTGCATTCTGCTGCCTTACACCAACACCCCTCGGCATTGTGACAAAAAACCCCAAATTGCCCAGTGCTGCTGGGGTTGGTTTGCTGTTAGGGGTTGTTACTGATGGTCTGGATGAGGGGATTGAGGGCATCTCAGTAAGCAGGGATGTAAGTAAGTAGGGGTTGGTCTGTATCCACAGGGAATGGTGATGGGATGGGAGGGGATCACAGCATCACGGAATGGCCTGGGTTGGAAGGGACCCCAAGGATCATGAAGCTCCAACCCTCCCACCGCAGGCAGGGCCGCCAACCTCCACATTTCATAGCAGCCCAGGCTGCCCAGGGCCCCATCCAACCTGGCCTCCAACACCTCCAGGGATGGACGGGGCATCACAGCCTCTCTGGGCAGCTGTTCCAGCAAGAAACACCAACTGTGATGTGTTCAGGGCAGGAGGGAGTGCCATTCGTCACCTCATAGTCAGACCTTTGTCCCAGGGAACAGCAATAGGACGGGAGGGGATGGGCTCAGGGTGCAACGGGGAGGGTCGGGTTGGAATTGGGAACAATCTGTGCTGCAATCAGCACTGCACAGCTGCCCCGGGCCGTGGGAAGCCCCCATCCCTGGGGGTGTTCAGTGAGCACAGGGATGTGGCACTGGGGGACGCGGGCAGTGGGATGGATCCAAGTTGGACTGGGCATCTCAGAGCTCTTTCTCAACCTGATTCCACAACTCTGTGTTTCTCTGGTTCTACAGGGCGCATCCTTTCTCGCAGAGAACTCACCTTGTTCATGTCGAAGGTACGGAACATCTGCTCGATGTACTCGTTGGCCTGGGGGTCCAAGCCCCGCAGCCCGAAGAACTGCTTGAATTCGTGCTCTGTCAGCTGCCCAGAGGGACACTCTGTCATGAACTTCTTGTACCAATGGTGGATCTCCACTGCCTGCAGGTCGTCCACCGTGGAGCTGTTGTTGTTTCCCATGGCCAGTGATAGGAACCCTGCAGGAATGGTCCTCCCCGTCCCGCTGCTCTCACAGCAATGCCCCTTTGCTCCCATCCACGTTCAATGTTAGTCCCAAAGTAAAAACCTCTGACCTTCCCCAAGCCCATTAGAAACGTTAATCTGCTTAGAGGCTGCTTTACAGACCCCTGAAGTTTCAATGATACAAACATTCTGCTTAGAATGAAAAGAAGGTGTGAGATAATCCAGCAAAGCTCTGCTATTCCAGGAGCTGCATTGGGGTGAGGAGGTTAAGCAGATGCCTCAGAGCTGCTCTGCTTTTGGACGCTGCCCTATTTTTAACCTTGGTATAACTAGACACAAAGATGAGATGGAAATGCTGTAGGATGCGAGGTTTGGGGGGGAGGTGAAGGTCTGCTCCTCTGTCTGGATTTGTAGACTTGGAGGTCATGGGTAATTTGGTGTATAGGACCAAGAATGACCCATCAGCATTAGGCCTGTGGGAAAAGTCCTGTCTCCACAAATGGCACAGATGGGGAACCAGACCCTGCTGTGACTCTGCTGGCCCCAGAAACACGATGGAGGGGCAGTGAACCCCTGCAGAACCCATCTCACAGAGCACAAAGTGGTGCTGCCAGGGAACACCACTAATCATAGAATCATAGAGCCATAGGATGGCCTGGGTTGCAAAGGCCCACAGTGCTCATCTGGTTCCAACCCCTGCTGTGTGCAGGTCACCAACCAGCAGCCCAGGCTGCCCAGAGCCACATCCAGCCTGGCCTCCAATGCCTGCAGGGATGGGGCATCCACAGCCTCCTTGGGCAACCTGTGCCAGTGCCTCACCGCCCTCTGCATGAAAAACTTCCTCCTCATATCCAACCCAAACCTCCCCTGTCTCAGTTCTGGACATTTTAACTCCCCCTGCCTCTCAGCCTCCTTTTTACAATACAGCTTCATCTCAAAGTACCTCACACACCAAATTGCTCAGCATGGCCCTGGTGCTTGCAAAACCTTTGTGTTCCTACGGGAGGCCATGGACAGAGTCCAGCTCTGCCTCTGTTGCCCACGTTGCTGACATCAAATCTCAAGTTTTGTTCATGTTCAGTCTAAGTGTATTTTAAAACACAGCAAAGCAAAGGGTTGTAAATCATTACTTAGCACTGGGGAGTATCTGGTGCCTTGAGCACTCACAACAAGTGGAATCTGGAAAGAAACAGTAAATGAAAAGCTATTTTTGTGCAGAAAGACTCCGTGATATACAACAACTCCCATGAATCACATAATTGGCAGCTTGTGGGCAAAACAAAATGCATACCATTTTGTTAACGATTTGTAGGAATTAGTTTTTACTGTGAGAATAGATCAACCCACTGCAAATGCCATGGCAGAATGTTTTACTCGTAGACAAAGGAAACTTGCTTTGCTACCAGTCAGATCTTTTTTCCAGCTGAAGGACACAGGAGGTGACAAAGCTTCACTCTGTGCTGCCAGGGAGAATCTGTGCAGTCTTATTTTTTCAAGAGGCAGATTGATTTTTGCAGTACCAGGGCCAAATGAACGGAGCCTTTAGTGGGAGGAGACACGAGGGCTGCTTTTCCTAGCAGGGATGTCATGTTGCTTTAATTTTTCTTATTGATGGTGTAAACTCATCTTGCAGATCTTACAACAGTGTGTGCTGATGAACAGGGAAATATATTTTGGCATCCTTGACCAGTTCATCAAACCTAGCTGTTGGGTACTCTTCTAGATACTGAAGAATGCCCCTAATGTGTAACCAGGTATGTGGTGATAAGTGGAAAGAGTTTTCTTCCCAGTTCCAGGATAAATAATTAATGAAAGAAGATCATCCCCTGCCCCAGCTTCTCCTGGGGCTGCCATAGGGGAGGTGACACCCATCTCCTGAAGCCACAGGACCAGTCAGCAGAGCACCTGGCTGCCGGTCACTGCCCAGGCTGTGGGAAGTGCTGTGGGGGTGGGGATGGGCACTAGGGGGCTGCACAGGTCTGGCTGTCCTCAAAGGTCTCATCCAACTGAACTATGGTCTATTCCTATTCTAGTCCAGTCTGGTGTATTCCCATTCCATTCCACTCCACTCCATTCCATTCCATTCCATTCCATTCCATTCC